CTAATAAATTAGGAGGTCCCGGTTCTATTGTTCAAATAGATGAAACGATGCTGAACTATAAATGCAAGAATCACCGGGGTCGTTCTTCTGAAATAAAACAGACTCCATTTCAATAGTTGAATGCACTAATGGAATTTTTAGAGCGTTTGCAAAGATAATACCTAATATGGAATCACGGACTTTACTACCAATAATAGCTTTACAGGTTGCTCGTTCATCAATAATTATACAGATGAGCATCGGTCATATTGTAAACTCAATCAGCTTGGTTTTTAGAAACAACAATTAAACATTTCCCAAATTATCATTTTCTGAGGTAAAAATTATAATTAATGACATAGCTAATATCTTAATAAATATTAAATTATAAAATTCATTTTTCATTCTATAATAAATCTTATAGAAAATTTAGATATTAATAACCTAATGAGATTCTAACTATGGCAAAAAGTAAAACATATGACTAATATCATCATATTATTATTTTTATAAGATCATTATATTTGAGAATTCTTTGTATGTTATGAGAAGATATTTGTGTGTTAGACAATCAACAGTTAATATGACAATCAAAAAACCAAAGGAGGAAGATGCTTATGATAATTCTTAGACTCAAGGCTCCTAGGCTAAAAATAAATACGAGAAATACTCGAAATCTGAAATATCTAATGACATTTAATACAATTTATTTAGATGCTTTAAATTGAAATGATAGGGTCAAAGGAATCAATCATTTACAACCCATAATCACAAGATGTATATAAGTATTATATATCCAGTACTATCGTATACAATTAAATTAATGACCAGTAAAGAGTAAGAAATAAAATAATTTTATAATTAAACGGTTCATATCTATACAAATTAAAAAAGTTTGGATCGAGTCTACTTTCCTCTATTTATAAAAATTTCAAAATAAATTAAAAATAATGAGTGGCTTTGATGATATTTTTTTGATACCAGAGAATGGGAAATCCTATAGAGACTTACAATAATAAGTACTGCAAGTCTTTCGGACGCCAAAACCCACCCCCATACATTTACCAATTATACGAGTCAACCGTATCCAGAGGGCTTTGGTCATAAATCATGAAATATTACTGACCGGGATCATTGGCAAACGTCCAGTTTTTATGTAATTTATGTAAAAAATATTTAAATCACTTTAATTTATCATTCTTTTGTGAGGTTGTTCTACCATATACAACATTTTTCAATTTATTTAAATTTTCTTTCCGATTTATTATTTCGTTCTAGGATTCAAATCTTATTATTTTTAATCAAAAACCTAAATTATAAAAATCTGGCATTAATTAATTTTCATGTAAATTATACAGGGTTTCTCATGTCATTTTGATATTTCTTTGCTTATTTTGACAATTAAATTAACGGATTTGATTCTCAGCTAGTTTTTTTAAATTTATTTTGGTTAAATATTACAATTCAAAATATGCTTTAATGATAAATTTACTAATGTTTTAATTTGAATAATAGATCTAAATATAAATAATTTAAACTAATTTATTCTTCAATTATATGTTCTTTTCTTAAATAGGGAATAATAAACCCAAACATAATAAATATAATTATTACAATGCTGAAAAGTTATATTTAAAGCACCATTTTCAATATTCCTTAATAGCTCTTCTTCAATGGTTGCCCTTGATCTTCTAATAAACTGTTTCCATTCCGAAAACATATTTTCGATCTAGTTTTAGAAAGGAGAATATGAGGGTAAAAGGAGCATTGTGTCCAGCAAGTGTAATTTATTTCGGATCGCCAAGGCTTTATGGAAAGGTACATTTTCCATAATTAAAATCGCCCCCAGAATTCCATCAGCATTGAGCTTTTCAATTAATGACTTAATGAAAGTCAAAAAA